AAGTGATGCAGGTCTCAGACGTTTACCACTTCGGTGAAACCCACGAGCACGGGTATGGTGCTGACAAACCTAAAAACATAATTGGGGCGAACCGGGATTGGAACCCACAATCATAGGTTTCTGGCGTGCCCAACGGACGCAACTCTGCACAGCGAATCGCTGCGCCTTAGACGACTGGGCCACCCGTGCCCCCGAAACCAGTAAAGTACAAGGCAGATGTCCTGGTGGCACGACACGGTCACGTTGTCTTACGTACGTCAGCTCAACCCTATTGAGCTTATCTGTGCTAACTGTTAAGAGTTCGTGGCAAGACATAACAAATCATTCAAACTCACACATGTTAATTCAATTCAGTTCTTTATTTACCTTTGTCTTTACAGATAATCGGCGGTTGTTGACAGATGTGGACAGATCGGTACAGGTAGACAATTACAATGGGATATGTACAAGGAGAATGTACTAAATATATAACATATTATAATTTAAAGTTCATTTCCAAGACATGTTTTATATTAATATTTACCTAGGTTACATAACTGTTTGACATTTTTTGACATGTAAAAGTTGTGTAAGTTTGAATACTGATGGACATTTCCAATAATATGGTTTGATGTACTTAACCCAGGTCAATGGGTTCATCAACGAAGCCTTTGCGAGAATCAAACCAGAGATATGGCAGAAGCCTGAAGATCACGTTCTTGAAGTAGAACGTCAGTGCCGCCAACGTGATGGCGTGGAATACCAGCCTTGTTGCACCAGTTACCATACCTTTGGCTGATAGTACAAATTCAGATACGTCATCAGCTGAGTCAGATGCTGGCAAAAAAAATCTTCTGTGGAACAACAAATACTTCTTGTTAAAAAAAATCCCAACCTTTCAAGACTTATCCCGTTTCATAGAATTGAACTATTCCATCATATTTTTCAAGCAAATATAATGCAGTTCATATTATAATTGCTACCTTCGTCAACGCACATCTAAACAAAGTACAGTAACAGCAATAGCTTGAGACCATCCCTAGCGCAGGTGACATTTGCACCCGTGGTTGGTTGGTTGGTTTGTTTGTTGTTTAACGCCGCACTCAGCAATATTTCAGCTATATGACGGCGGTCTGTAAATAATCGAGTCTGGACCAAACAATCTAGTGATTGATATCATGAGCATCTATCCACGCAATTGGGATCGATGACATGCATCAACCAAGTCCGCGAGCCTGACCACCCGATCCCGTTAGTCGCCTTTTACGACAAGCATAGTCACCTTTTACGGCAAGTATGGGTTGCTGAAGACCTATTCTACCCCGGAATCGTCACGGGTCATTTGCACCTGTGAGGATGCAGGGGCCGGTGTGGGGTCATCACCTCGGGATACGTGTTAAGTTACTGCCTCAGGCTTTCAGAAATTCTTTTTTTTTCGATTGAGGAGGGTGCCAACCCCTTTGTGCTACATCTGATGCCGAGCCCTGTTAAGTGGCATTTTGCATGCCGCAGTGCAGAACGCTGGATGCCATGAAGTGTTTATCTGGTACGCTGCATGATGCCAGTATTTCAATATTGAAATTACTTTTACGTCTTTTTTTCTTGCAAAAGAGTGATAAATCGAAATATTAAGCCCCAAGCTTTTGCGCACACAGTCATACATTGAATGTGAAACTCAACTCAACTCAAACTCAAATTTACCCGTACCAGCTGTGTACACTAATACGACTCATTAGTTCTTAAATCCGATGCCAAGATAAATTGAGTGGTACACCGGATGCCTTGAGAAGCGAGGATGGCCCCCTCATTTAGGGCGACTCCGGGTCAGAGCGTCCCCAATAACCCGTGCCCAAATACACGAGGCGGTGAGATGGGGGATCGGCTGGACGGAACAATGCTACTTCTGGGAAGTTAAAGGACAGGTAGGACTGACCATATGTAACCTGGCTGACCTTGTGTATAACACACCTGGGTCAAGGCAAACACAGTCAACCACTGGTATGTCCACCCCTAGCCAGATTATTTCCGACATCGTCACTATAGTTTCTACCTACAAAGCACGCAACCCATTCACTACCCTAATTACCAATGGACGTTTTAGCGGAATTCGTGCATATCAGGGTGCTGCTAGGCTAATTATAAGTGTAACCAAAACCAATATTATGCTCACTAGCGGTCTTTATGGTGAATTGAGGTTTTCTTATTTTTAAAAAGTTTGTTCGTGATGTGTAAAAGAATTATGCTTTTTTATGTGTAATTTTAAGCAACTGCTTTTATGCTGCAATGGTAGTTTCGCCCTGCTCATGCATGGGCCAAACACCCTCGGGGCGATGGGTCTTGAATATGCATGAATTTCTCCATAAGCTCCTGTGCTCTGACCCAGTTGGGTTGAATTCAGATTCGGTTATATACTACTCAAAAGAAGTTAAGGATCACCTGATTCTTCCATATTACAATAGTTAATCTCTCATGCCATGACAAATTAACACTACCAATATGAAAGAATCGGGTGATCCTTAACTTCTTTTGAGTAGTATATATTAAGAGCCACTGCTTCGCATTCCAGCACTTCCCCGTTGTGTTTCTGGCTGAGACGTATCTGCCTGGAGTGAGGGGACACCGTCTACTGACCGACACGCGTACAGCTGTAGACCAGTCGTGCCTGTTTCCCACGCGGCCGCTACTTCCGGCTCCTTCATTATACCGGTATACCGCTGTCGAACATCCTCACGCTTATCTTGGGAACTGTCAGATGATTGTCCGAGGCAGATAGGGAAGGGCCGCTGTCTTCCCTACGGACAAAAATGCAGCGATCTGCTTGTTCAGGTTATGCGATCGATGTTCTGTACTGAATGGTACTGACTCTTAGGCATGTTTTAGTACCAGCTTTACGTATGCTTTAAAACAAAAAATAAGTGGCCATATATCTGTAAGGGAGAAAATAACTTTTCTAAAGCATATATACTGCAGTTTATTAACCTAGAAGACAAGACACAGAGTCATGTACACATTTCACAGCATTTTGGGACGATGGAGCCAAAAACCAAGAAATGAAAAACGCCTTTGGGGTTAATCATTCATGGCTAGATTGTTTCTTTTGAAAATTTGATTTGACGTGTCTTGTTGATTTTTGTTTATATTACATACTCGATCTGATTATAGACATTATATTTGTTTGTTTGTTGTTTCACGCCGCGCTCAGCAATATTCCAGCTAAATGACGGCGGTCTGTAAATAATCGAGTCTGAACCAGACAATCAAGTGATTCACATCGTGAGCATCGATCCACGCAATTGGGATACATTTACATGCATCAACCAAGTCAGCGAGCCTGACCACCCGATCCCGTTAGTCACCTCTAATGACAAGCATAGTCGCCTGATACGGCAAGCATGGGTTGCTGATCGATGACCTATTCTAACCCGGATCCTCATGGGTCTTTTGAACTTATATATAGACGTACTGGTTTTTGCAAGGTCGATTCCCTTTCGCGTTCCTGTCTTCTGGTATTTTAGCATCTTCAGAAAACCTTGTCCCTTTCTTTAAAAGGTCAGTGAGAAGTGTTAATTTCACGACAGATTAACTATATATGAAAACAATCGGAAGTTCTTTAACTTCTTTTGAGTAGTACACTGAAAGGTGTTTTGTTCTATAAATGGTTCTCATTCACGATACATGTGTATGTACTATTAAGAAGTAAAATGACAAAAAAAAACAGGATCTGCATCTTTTAGACGACATGCCCATGGCAAAAGGTTCCCTTTATTTACTTTTTAAAATATTCATTTCTATTTGATATCTTAAGTAATATTTATAAGTTTGTAACTGATGCCATGATATAATAGTTAGTGGATGAGGTTGGTTTAACGCCGATTTGAACAGTATTGCAGTTGCATCAGGGCGTGTCAGCTTCATGTGGGAGGAGTGAGTGAGTGAGTGAGTTGGGTTTAACGCCGCTTTTAACAGTATTACAGTTATATCCCGGCGTGTCAGCTTAATGTGGGGAAAAGCCCGAAGTGATGCATGTCTTAGACGTTTACCACTTTGGAGAAACCCATGAGCACGGGTATGGACGTCACGATGGTAAAGTATTGTCAAGAAGTTTACCATGCATCCACACTATCTTGTCATGAGTTACACTCTACAAATAATTACCCGAGGACCCGACCCCTGATGTGGTCAGACCGCCGAAGGGGTCGGGTCCGAGGGTCCTTGTTTTCGGATATTTACCTCGTCAAGAGTAATCATTCGTTTTGTTAAACCGAAATCCACTTTAAAGTTTATGAAGCCTTTAAACCGTCCTCTGTTTCAGTACAGTAACTTAGCTGAACCGTAAAATGTGCGTACCAGACGCTATCTTGGTTTCTGGTCAATATTCATCAAGTGACAGGTCAATACTGATCATATGACGAGTCAATATTCGAGGTCAGTGTCCGCCACATAACTTCGGGGTCTACATTGAAATGTTTCGTCACTTGATACGGACAATCTAGTGATTGACATCATGAACATCGATCCACGCAATTGGGATACGATGACATGCATCAACCAAGTCAGCGAGCCTGACCACCCGATCCCGTTAGTCGCCTCTTACGACAAGTATAGTCGCCTTTTACAACAAGTATGGTTTGCTGAAGACCAATTCTATCACGGAGTAACAGAAGAAAGGGACATCGCCCCCCAAGCAGAGAGGGTGTTGTATCATCCAAGGATTATATCCAACATGAGCGGCCATTTTGACCAACAGATCCTCTCTCAGATGACTGAATACAAAGTATTGGAACTTTTATTAAATGAATCGTTGGGCGTATTATTGGGACGCGTATTATCATATAAGGGACGATGTTAATGTCATAAGCCATGCATTAACGTTGAGAAATAGAGTGCGACGCGAACCCAACCACTTTTCCCACGCAACGTGCAAGTAAATGAAAACACAGGTATTGCAACATACCTCGCTTCATGTAGAAACCCGCTCGTGACGTTGCATGATCCCTCCAATTTGATTGGCTTAGAGCTGGCATGTATAGACATGTCGGGCCGGCCGGTATATACAGCGATAGAGCCGAGCTAAGACTCTAGCTGCCGGTTGTCTACCAGCCTGCTGATATATCTCTCCAAACAACCGTTGTCTTACTATAAGGTAATGCGTTTTGTGTGTAATAGTCCGCATTGAGTATGTAATATAGAATAAATGGTGGAGAAACGCCACCACTTGCAGATGTGGTAGATTGCAGAAATATATTGATTAATTTTCTTCCCGAAAGCGCACTGCACCGTTAGTACATGCTGATCTAATATAGTACATATATATTTCAAAGTTACTTGTGCAAAACTCCTTGGCTATATCCTTATGTTTATGTACGTATTGTTTCTTATTCAATATTTCATCGCATAAGACTTATATAGCCAAGTCATGGCACCCGTTCTTCCAACCTCAACAGGGCCTCCCAATGGTGGGCGTGGCACTTGTTGTGGCCAGCGTTGTATGGCCATCTGTTAAGAATGTGTGTGAGCGATATCTGGTAAATGAGGCCCCAGAACGGTCGGTGTTTGTCTAATATGCTGAGATACAGATTGAAAGGATCAAAGTAAACATAGCCTGGATATACACATCTCGTTTTATCTGGAGGGGATAGATTATACGTGTGACTCGGCTTGTCCTCGCCGGTTTACCTCGCCGGGTTACAGCTCCGTGATATTCCCTCGTTATAACGCAAGCGCGAAATGCACACGTCTTGCCCGTTCACGTCCACAGGGTGAGAAATAGGCCACCAGGTCACCGTCAGATCAATGTGACCCTCTTAACTTCGAATTATCAGGTCATTTCCTGCAACCCTACATGTTTGTATGTTTCCATCTGCACGTGAACAAGGAGATAATTATGCACGGTGTCCCTCAACACCGCGGCACACAAACGCCAGCTCCATGGGATTCATGGAATATCGATGGGTTATCGGTTGATTCTTCAACGAGCTGGATGCCAAACGCTGAGCACATAGCCGTTAACACAGACGTTGGGTGGATTAATTAAAATTAACTCAAGCGCTTGATGTATGTGCATGGATCTGAACTAACAGTAGTTAAATACAGCACCACCTTGCTCCCTTAATGCACTGTTATTGTCAGAGGTCTCAACACCTCTCTATATGTTAAATATTCGATGCACTGAGGATGCTAGCAGCATTTAATTCATTTATAATTATTTTACATACAATAACCATGCAGTGAATACATTTAAGTTATGATTATCCTACTCAAATGAAGTAAAGAACAGAAGTAATTACTGTCTACTTAACAATTAATTCTCTGCTCATAATCTAGCCCTTACCTTCAAGGGGGCACGGGTGTCCCAGTCGTCTAAGGCGCCGTGATTCGCTGTGCAGAGTTACGTCCCTTGGGCACGCCAGAAACCTATGATTGTGGGTTCGAATCCCGGTTGGTCCCAATTATGTTTCTAGGTTTGTCAGCACCATACCCGTGCTGGTGGGTTTCACCGAAGTGACAGACGTCTAAGACCTGCACTTCGGGCTTTCCTCCCACATTAAGCTGACACCCCGCGATAAAACTGGAATACTGTTAAAAGCGGCGTTAAACCCAACTCACTCACTCACTCACTCCTTACCTTCAAATACCATATGTATAATGCTTCCATAAACCTACCCTAATTCTTTATTTATTAACTACTCAGGTACTACATGTTATCTCAAAGTTAAATAAACATAATATAAACAACACTTGTGTCTCACAAGGACCCATGTTAAGGTTGCCACCCTCCGATGTGGTCATGAATTCTTCCTGGTCTTGGGAGAAAACCTTGCTCTAAGCACCTGAACAAGTGAATTTCAGGTGACAATTTCTTCTGCTGGAGGCTCCTTGCTACACTCTCACCTGTTTTAGAGTGAGTGAGTGAGTATGATTTTATGCCGCTTTAAGCAATATTCCAGCAATATCACAGCGGGGGACACCAGAAATGGGCTTCACACATTGTACCCATGTCAGGAATCGAACCCGGGTCTTTGGCGTGACGAGCGAACGCTTAAACCACTAGGCTTCCCGACCGTCCCCCTGTTTTAGATGGACCAGACAATCCAGTGATTGACATCATGAGCATCGATCCACGCAATTGGGAATCAATGACATGAATTGACCAAGTCAGTGAGCCTGACCACCCGATCACGTTAGTTGCCTCTTACAACAAGCATATCTTGACTGTGACAACACCTGATTTCCCTATTTTCTCATATGTATATTTTCATTGACATGGAACTATTTATCACATAAGCTATGTGATAATAATCTTCATCACTTTCGATCTTCTCTTTATTCCATGATGGACCAAACTGATAAGTTATTTGTAAATAATATGAAATATAATTATTTTGTCACAAGGGCAGATCCAGCATTTTTAAAAGGGAGGGGTCCAAAGTATCAAAATCCTCTCTCAGTCAGTTTTACTGCCAAGAACATACTACATTTGGTTTTCAAAAGGTAGGGGTGGCCTACTATACTTGTCGTAAGGATCGACTAAGGGGATCGGATGGTTAGGCTTGCTGACTTGGTTGATGCATGTCATCGTATCCCAGTTGCATGGATCGATGTTCATGATGTCAATCAGTGGATTGTCTGGTCCAGACTTGATTATTTACAGACCACCATCATATAGCTGGAATAATGCTGAGTGCGGTGTCAAACAACAAACAAACAAACAAAACTTGATAACACATTTACAGTACGAAACAAGAGTGAATGACAGCTTTAGTTGATAAATATATTTAATCCCCTATTGAGAGAGATCCTGATTGGTCAGGTTATGACAGGTTCTATGTCTAGGTGTGTATCTCCAGTGTATTCACACCTTGTAGTAGTGACCTTGAGTGCTTCCCCATTATAGATCAGCTATGTCCTGCACGACTGCTCACCAGCTTTATAATGAGGTGGTTACGGTGCACTGGGTATCATGGCTACACAAATACAAACATGGGGTTGCTATCCAGAATGAATGCTGGTGTGTTTTGTTGGAAGATAATGCAAGCAGTGTTTCATGCATGTTTGTGCCATTCATTTTCTAGGCATTGAAAAATAACATGATCTTTGTAGTGTAGAGTATCCTTTCATATTTTTCATAAACATAAATTATTCTCGAATAATGCATCATCTTCAATAACTTATTAGTGAAATGGAAAAAAAGAGATTAAAAATTATAAATGTGCAAGATTAGCGTTAAATAGTGTTATGCATGTACTACATACATTTGAAAAATTTATAAATATGACATTAATGACCTTCCACGATGCATAGGTACATAATTAGAATAGAACTCTACGAGAATCTTGTTATATTCCGGAGCCCTTGAGTGAGTCCTATGTTTGGGCATCATTCTAGCCATTTCTTAATATGAAGAAAAAAAAAATTTAAAGGAATTTTTTCATTGACTAAGTGTTAGTCTACCAGAATATATGTATTATTTTTTTTATGACCGTCCCTTATTTTTTGGTGACCCTCTCCTGATTCCCTCTGAAAAACCTCCCCTCCCCCACCCTTTCTGTAATTAATGACTGGTCCCTTACCAACTGACAGCTTGACAAGGAAGTCGAGGATAATGATAGTGCTTGTGTTACACAGACACAGCTGATAACATCACCAGCAGGTTCTATAAATGTCCTGATATAGGAAACTTCTGTCACTGAGAACAGGATTTGAATGTGGGGCTTAATTTATAAGCAAATTGTGGATTAACCTGTCTGACTGGTATGTTAAGGAAATGGCATTTTGCAAAATATAATAAAATGGATATTTGACACAACGCTACCCTTACACAACCCTACTCTAACACAACACTACCCTCACACAACGCTACCCTCAGACAATGTAGCCCTCACACACTGCTACCCTCACACAACACCACTCTCACACAATGCTACCCTCAGACAATGTAACCCTCAGACAATGCTACCCTCACACAACACTGCCACACACAACACTACACTCACACAATACTACCACACACAACACTATCCTCACTCAAGGCTACCCTGAGAACCCTCACACAACACTACCCTCACACAATGCTATCTCACACAACACTACCCTCACACAATGCTATCTCACACAACACTACCCTCACACAATGCTATCTCACACAACACTACCCTCACACAATGCTATCTTACACAACACTACCCACATACAACACTACCCACACACAACACTACCCTCACACAATGCTATCTTACACAACACTACCCTCACACAATGCTATCTTACACAACACTACCCTCACAAAAATGCTATCTCACCGAACACTACCCTCACACAATGCTACCCTCACGCAATGCTATCTTACAAAACACTACCCTCACACAATGCTATCTCACACAAAACTACCCTCACACAATGCTATCTCACACAAAACTACCCTCACACAATGCTACCCTCACACAATGCTATCTTACACAATACTACCCTCACACAATCCTATTTCACACAACACTACCCTCACACAATGCTATCTCACACAATGCTATCTCACACAACACTACCCTCACACAATGCTATCTTACACAACACTACCCTCACACAACACTACCCTCACACAATGCTATCTCACACAATGCTACCCTCACACAATCCTACCCTCACACAATGCTATCTTACACAACACTACCCACACACATCACTACCCTCACACAATGCTATCTCACACAACACTACCCTCACACAACACTACCCTGAGAACCTTCACACAACACTACCCTAACACAATGCTATTTCACATAACACTACCCTCACAGAACACTACCCTGAGAACCTTCACACAACACTACCCTCACAATGTTATTTCACACAACACTACCCTCACACAATGCAATCTCACACAACACTACCCTCACACAACACTACCCTCACACAACACTACCCTCACAATGCTATCTCACACAACACTACCCTCACACAATGCTATCTCACACAACACTACCCTCACACAACACTACCCTCACACAATACTATTTCACATAACACTACCCTCACAAAACACTGCCCTGAGAACCTTCACACAACACTTCCCTCTCACAATGCTATTTCACATAACACTACCCTCACAAAACACTACCCTGAGAACCTTCACACAACACTACCCTCACACAATGCTATTTCACACAACACTACCCTCACACAACACTACCCTGAGAACCTTCACACAACACTACCCTAACACAATGCTATTTCACACAACACTACCCTCACACAACACTACCCTGAGAACCCTCACACAACACTACCCTCACACAATGCTATCTCACACAACACTACCTTCACACAATGCTATTTCACACAACACTACCCTCACACAACACTACCCTGAGAACCCTCACACAACACTACCCTGAGAACCCTCACACAACACTACCCTCACACAATGCTATCTCACACAACACTACCTTTACACAACACTACCCTGAGAACCCTCACACAACACTACTCTCACACAATGCTATCTCACACAACACTCCCCTCACAAAATTCTATCTCACACAACACTACCCTCACACAATGCTACCCTGACACAACACTACCCTCATACAACACTACCCTCACAGAAGGCCAACCCTGCTTCAAGGACCGTACAAGACCATGTCACAATGCCTGAGTTTGGTTTACAGATAACAGGACATCATCAACATGCCTCCAAAGAGAAAGGGCGGGAAGGCAAAGGGCAAAGCTGGAGGCAAGAAGGCCAAGGTGGAGGTGGAGGTGGAGGAAGAGGAAGAGACGCCTACGCTGAAGGACACCATCAAGACGCTGAAGGCTGCAGATGCGGGCAAGAAGAAATCCCACAAGCCTGACAGCTTCATCCCAGGGAGTGCCTCCTATGACGTAAGCAGACAAGATGGGAATATCCCCTGTGAAGATCCAGGTTTCTTCTGATCTTCATCAAACTGTTATAAGAGGCGAATAACAAGATTGCTTGGTCTATGCATGTCATTGAACAAACGTGAAGTGTTGGTTTTATTAGTCCAGTGGTTTCTGATGTGATGATGTTTACAGTGCGGGGAAATGCATTTGGAGAGAATTAAGGTGCATGGTCAAATTGCACATGTCAAATAAAGGTCAAAGTATAAATTATAGCAAAAAAACCTGACCATGTCTGTGGAGCCTCAGTACTCACAACTGACCCGTGAATATCTGTGGTAGAACAGGTCTTCAGTAACATGCTTGCTGTAAAAGGCGACTATGCATGTCGTAAAAGGCGACTAACAGGATCACGTGGTCAGGCTCGCTGACTTGGTTGATGTATGTCATTGTATTCCAATTCCATGGATCGATGCTCATTATGTCAGTCACTGGATTGTCTGGTCCAGACTCGATTATTTACAGACCATCATAATACAGCTGGAATATTGCTGAGTGCGGCGTTAAGCAACAAATAAACAAAACAAAATTAGCCAACATGTATGGTATTCGCGTTTCTTTTGGCGGTTAGTTTTTATCAGTATATGGTCTCTGGGGTTCCAGATGACTCCCTATACATGGCGCCAAGGTTGTAGTTGATGCTACATGTAAGTGTTGTCTGCAGGTGGAGGGGGATTATGACTGCATGTTGAACCAGACGAACATCGGCTTCAACAACAACAAGTACTACGTGATACAGGTGCTGAGCAATTGTGGCAAGTACTACATCTGGAACAGGTGGGGCAGAGTGGTAAGTGTGTTACGCTGGAGGTGTCCTTATCATTGCAACTTCTATGAGTGAGTGATTTGGTTTTATGCCACTTTTAGTATTAGGCGAAACTTTTTAAGAAAATTAGTTTGTGGATTCAACCGATCTTAAAACAAATGAAAAGCACCATATTTTTATTTGGCTGACTGAAAACGTTCAAGTTCACCATAAAAACATTTTGAAGTCAATAAGGTTACAATGGGTTAAATGGTGAGACGTTTGAGCTGACACACATTATGAATGTATCATGATAACCTTTCGAAGAACAAAACAAAATTGAAATGAATTTTATTATATTTTGTTCCCCCCTACCAACCAGAATTTTTAAAAAGTAAGTTCCATAAACAAATAAACTGAAAAAAGAATTTTAGCAATATGATGTCCAGGATACCAAGAATGCTCTTTGCACATGATGGTCTTGTAGGGAATTGAACACCTATCTTTGGTGTGATGTAGAAATGCTGTAACAACTGGGCTAGTTCAGGTTTCCTGTTATATTTTACAGGGGGAGTCTGGTGCCAATGCTTTGAAGGGACCAATGGAGCTGGCTGCAGCAACAAAAGATTTTGAGAAGAAGTTTCAGGACAAAACCAAGAATAAATGGGCCAACCGTGGCAGCTTCAACCCCGTGCCAGGAAAGTACACGCTCATCGAGATGGCCAATGATGATGAGGAGGACGAAGTGGATGCTGTAAGTAGTTCATGTAGACGATGTTGTACCAACAGAGTAGTGGGCATTCATACTCAGTTGATGGTGGCTTTCTTAGGAAAATTAGGTGTGATGTATGTTTAATGTTTTACGCCGCATTCAGTAATAGTCCTGCTATATTGTGGACCAGACAATCCAGTGATTGACATCATGAGCATCAATTTACGCAATTGATATCTATGACATGCATCCACCAAGTCCGCCAGACAGGCCACCTAAAGGGACACAACTCTGAGATGTGAGAACTGCTGCACGAGGCAACATAACCTCCATTTGGGTTTAACTTACAACATGTGGGTATGGGTGAGTGAGTGAGTGAGTGAGATTCTACGCTCTACAGACAGCAATATTCCAGTTACATCAAACTAGCATGTGTCAGGCAAACCAACAGTAATACATGCCCTCAGCGAGCATGATGACGATGCCACACAACAATGTTATATACTGTGTGACCACTGATGCTCATTTTGGTAGACTTAATGACAAGCATGGGATACTGGGACAAGACAAGAGAACCCACAGGCTCTCGGGGGGGAATATTTGTCTTTTCATGTAGTTAGTTCTGTGGGGAATATTTGTCTTTTCATGTAGTTAGTTCTGTGGGGAATATTTGTCTATATATGTAGTTAGTTCTGTGGGGAATATTTGGCTATATATGTAGTTAGTTCTGTGGGGAATATTTGTCTATATATGTAGTTAGTTCTGTGGGGAATATTTGGCTATACACATACCTGTCTATATATGTAGTTGGTTCTGTGGGGAATATTTGTCTATATATGTAGTTAGTTCTGTGGGGAATATTTGTCTATACGTGTAGTTAGTTCTGTGGGGAATATTTGGCTATACACATACCTGTCTATATATGTAGTTGGTTCTGTGGGGAATATTTGTCTATATATGTAGTTGGTTCTGTGGGGAATATTTGGCTATACACATACCTGTCTATATATGTAGTTGGTTCTGTGGGGAATATTTGTCTATATATGTAGTTAGTTCTGTGGGGAATATTTGTCTATACGTGTAGTTAGTTCTGTGGGGAATATTTGGCTATACACATACCTGTCTATATATGTAGTTGGTTCTGTGGGGAATATTTGTCTATATATGTAGTTGGTTCTGTGGGGAATAATTGTCTATACACATACTTGGTTCTGTGGGGAATATTTGTCTATATATTGGTTCTGTGAGAAAAAGTCATTATACAGTCTGTTCTGTGGGGAATATTTGTTTTATAATTATGTACTAGGCTTACTGGAAATGACATGTTTGACTTCTGTGTTACCCATGATTCTATGTTCCAGCCTGCCATGGTTGACACAAAGGGAAGAAAAGTAGCAGACAGCACTCTAGATACCACCACACAGAAACTGGTCAATCTGATCTTCGATCTTGACATGTTCAAAGACGCCATGAAGAGCTTTGACATCGATGTGAAGAAGATGCCGCTGGGGAAGCTGAGCAAGACCCAGATAGCTAAAGGCTTCGAGGTGTTGGAGGAGATCGAAGATGAACTGAAGAAGAGCAAGCCTGCAGCGGCCAAACTTAGGGAGCTGTCGTCCAGGTTCTACACAGTGATTCCGCATGACTTCGGTCGCAAGATTCCCCCATCTATTGCCGACTCAGAGACTCTCCAGAAGAAAATGGACATGTTGTCGGTATGTTCAGTCTTCTGTTTCTTTGGTTAATAAGTTGCTAAATAATCCACAATATCTTTCTGGGGAGCGATGGGCGTTAAGGAATTGACTTTTTGTAAAGTACTTGTTGTTTAGAGACAGTAACAATAATTGGTGACAAACTTTTTGGAGCATGGTACTTTCGTTTCATTGTAAAATTATGATGGCATCTTTGTAATATAAGTGATATAAATTTGTCACAACATATGAATCATTGTCCAACAATGTAATATTTTGTTCCCATCCTCATCTTGAATAATGTATTGTACTATAACTAACTAGGATGAAATGTGTCTCCTATTCTAATTGTGAAAACATGTGATCTTAGAAAAGTCTTGAGTAACTATAGCAACTGACTTGCATGACCTTGACCTCCTCAGGTCCTGGAAGAAGGTGGATGTGGTGCTGTTAATGTTTGGCAACATGTGGGTTTCAGGTGCTGGGAGATATCGAGCTGGCTCAAAGCCTACAGAAAGACAAGGACAAGGCTATCGCAGCTGTAAGTCATCTCTCAATGATTTTCTTCTTGCTTCGTTTGCATTTTGCTGATGGGATACTGGTTTTATCCAATTGAGTTCCAAGGGCAGAATGACCTTGATACCACATATTGTAGTAAGATGCAATTTTTTCATTTGGGCATGCTTTGGCCAATGTGGCATCTGAGTATGGACAGTATCTATGAAGAATTCATCACAACTATAGGCCAAGGCCCATGACATGTGAGACTGGTAATCAACCAACTGAGAGTTAACTGACATTGTTAACAGCCCCCATGAAGATTAGAATTGTTTTTCAGCAACCCATGCTTGTTGTAAGAGGTGACTAACAGGCTGGGGTGGTCAGTCCCACTGATTTAAGTCATCGTATCTCAGTTGTGTAGATCAATACTCATGATGTCAATCACTGATTTGGCTGGTTCAGATTTGATTATTTACAGACCACCATCATATAGCTGGAATATTGCTGAGTGAGCGTTAAACAAAAATGAAAAATAATAATAAAGCTGACAATGGAATTAATTTGCCTTCTATCACTCTGCTAGTAATATAACCCATGTTATGATTTTAAATCTTTACTTGTTGATGACAGTGCATGAAGAGATTTTAAATGGTTATCTATGTATTGTTTTTTTCAGTCAAAGGATGCAGCTATCCCCAACCCCATTGATGTCAACTATCACCTTCTCAAGTGTGGCCTTGAAGTTGTTGATCCTAAGTCTGAGGAATTCAAGGTGAGAAGGAGTTCTCCTGTAGCCCGTGTTGAATGTAGGAAGAGAGAACAGTATGGTTAGAAAACACAGGCCAGTAGTCAGTGGGGTTTAACAGAATGAAAAAGTAAATTTCGAGAAAAAAATAATTTATGTTTTTGTTGAAATTGCGTTGTTGGTACACGACCCTTCAAATAAATTGCTATTATGGACCTCTGTTTGATATTCTTGGGAGGTGGGGGGTGGGGTGGGGGGGAGAGCTGTGATTTTATTGACAAAAATAAATTGCAACAGAAATTGTTTTCAAAAAATTACTACATTTCGAATTGTTGAAATTTTTTTAAATTGTCTGCCACATACCTACAGTCCCAAATACATTGTTGCAAGGCGTTTTTTGTAAAGAAAATATTTCAACTCATAGTTTTATTTTTTTAACAATATATCGTTTTGCTCATATGTCTAGTCTCCAAACAACATCCGAGCCCTCTCTTCACTCGCTCACTGTTGTAGGTTCTCAACAAGTACAAGGATTCCACTGAAGGCTACAGGAAGGTCAAGATTCAGCACATCTGGAAGGTCAATAGGGATGGCGAGGTCAGTATTTTGGACTTTGACGGACACAAAATATTATGTCCTATATGCATACATCCTGAGAATGAAGGAAAATACATTACATTTCAAGTAGGTGATTTGATTTAAACATATTTTATTGCGGAAAACCAAATGGTAGGTGATGCAGAGATGTTTGTCTGTTTAAATCATTTTAACAACTCAAAATGGTAGGTTTGTAGGAAATTAGGGCTGGGACGAGTCCAAATTTACCCCCCTAGTACCCAACCCCCTATTACTCGACCCTACCCGGGTACCTGCTGTAGGTCTCAAGAGATAGGTACAAACTGTCCGATTGGGAAAGGTTTGACCGCAGCCCTGGCAAAATGTTTTTAGATACATGTGTAAAGCGATCTGGTCATGCATACACTATAGTTTACTGCATGAAGTTTTATTTTTATTCAAACATATAAAAGTCAGAAGGAATGGGAGCATTGTCAGAAAGATATGGGAACATAAGTGATAATTTTTGTCATTAAACAATATATCAGGTGACTAACCACGGGTCCAGGTAGTCCTGTGGGTACCCGGGTCCTACTCAGTACCCACCGGACCCGAGTACCTGATTTACCCGTCCCAGCCCCATAGGAAATACACTCCAAGTAAAAGTGTCAGTGGGTGGTTTTCTACAATCTTAACTTTGGAATCCCCATCTTTGATAAACGACTAAACATGTGCAAGCATATGAAAACATATACCGTATTCGACGTAATAAGCGCCCCGCTCTAATAAGCACCCACAGCGATATTTGCTAATATATTGGCTAGTGAACAATCCCAATTAGCACCCCTTCTGATTGATCAATGTACACAACACTTATTTATTCGCATATAATACGCACTCGTTTGTTATATGCACCCTTAATTATGGGCAATTAAATTCCGAAAAAAAATGTATCTCTCGTATATAAACATTTCAGGCTGTCAGTACAAACCACGAAATTTATCTTTCGACTGTTTTTTTTCACCAAAATAGTATTCTAATAGGATCCCCCTATTTCTAATTTTGAGAGCGCCCTGGGCGCTTATTACGTCGAATACGGTAAGCTTAACTGGAACTAGAAGTAATATTGCATACCACATCCCATCATCCTTGGACTCCCATGCTCATGCAGTGGACCTCTACAAAGTTTAACTAACAGATGAAAATAGATAGGTAGGAATAGTACTCAAAAAAAGTTTGGGACCACCCGATTCCTTCAAAGCCCGACAGATTAACTTTTGTAATATGAAAGAATCAGGTGATCCTTAACTGATTTTGAGTAGTATATATCTTGGTCCCGTTCCACAAAGTGATCGTAGCCGTAAGACGATCGTAACTCCCATACTTTAACATAGACTTACGACAGTCTTAGCGCTAAGATCGCATTGTGGAACGGGGCCCAATATGAAATTTTCAGTGCTCAGTTAGCTTACTGTAGCTGTGAAAGATGTCGGAATAAAGTATAAAGTTATTTGGGTTGCTTGCTTTACAGGATTCTCGGTTCGCAGTTCATAACAAACTTGACAACAGGAAGCTGCTTTGGCATGGAACCAATGTGGCCGTCGTTGCAGCCATCTTGAAGAGCGGTCTGCGTATCATGCCACACAGTGGTGGCAGAGTAGGGAGGGGCATCTACTTCGCCTCCGAAAACGGGAAGTCTGCTGGCTACGGTGAGTAGTGTCAGGAGGCAAGGATTACACAGGTGTATCGTCAACTCTGATGCGTGAGAGGCCAGATGAAATGGTGTTTAGGATTATGTTCTTATATAGTGACATGCATGCATGTGTGTGTGTGTGTGTCTCTGTGTGCGTGTGCATGTGTGTGTGTACTAGTACAGACTATTGACAGTTTTATGGTGCTGGCCCACTGTGATACCATGCTGCAGTTCAACATGAATACCCTACTTAGAAACAGTATGCTGACTCATACCAAAACAGCCGGGTGTCAGGAAGAGTAATAATGAGTACCATCTTTCATGTGTTTTGGTATGACATGGCCAGGGTTCAAACTATGTACTGTCTAGCCACTAGATCACAGAGGCAGTCCTGATGCCCTCTCTCTATGATTGTGGGTTCGAATCCCGGTTCGGTCCTATTATGTTTCTAGGTTTGTCAGCACCATACCCGTGCTCGTGGGTTTCACTGAAGTGCTAAACGTCGGAGACCTGCATCACTTCAGGCTTTCCTCCCACCTGAAGCTGACACTCCGCGATATAACTGGAATACTGTTAAAAGTGGTGTTAAACCCAACTCACTCACTCACTCACTCACTCACTCACTCACTCACTCACTCACTCACTCTCACCTCACTCACTCACTCTTCATTTATATGTGATGTCATGTGTTGACGTTACCATACTACCCTGTTGTTTACAAATGGGGATGTCATTTAAGTATCAGTACTATATATTGCCAATCTGCTTCTTTTCCCCAGTCGGCACCAATGGCAAGACCGGCATCATGTTCCTGAATGAAGTCGCCCTCGGCAAGGAGAAGCACATCGACCGAGACGACTGCAGCCTTGTTACGGCCCCAAAAGGATTTGACTCCATTGTGGCCAAGGGGCGGACCGAACCAGGTGAGTGGTCTGTCCCATGAGATCAATGATCAATGTGACTCCTGGTTAATAACCAGTATGTCAGTCTGTGTGTTCATTTGATGATGCAGTCAGCAATATTCAGCTGTAAGATGGCAGTCTGTAAATAATCAAGTCTGGACTAGACAATCCAGTGATTGATATTATAAGCAAAGATCTGCTGTGGTATGATGACCCGTAAACAACCAAGTCACCGCACCTGACCACCCGATCCATGAGGTCATCTCGTATGACCAGTATCGGTTGCTAGGGAGCAGAATCCCGGAATCCCCACTGTGGTCTGCGACAATGGAGTTCTTCACATCAGTGAAGAGTATATATCATGGTGTGTAGGCTTAATGTAAGAGGAATCCCAGTCATGCAGGCCTCAGACATTTACCACTCAAAATGTGCATAAAACCAATGAGCTAGGGTACGGTTCTCACAAAGAGGATTTTAATCAGGGCATATCTGGGATTTGTAAAACAATAATAGGAACCTGGCACTCATAAGGGAAGCCACTCTGCACGGCTGTTTGGGTTGTCTTAGACCTTGCCGCTGCATAACCCGTATTCTCAGATAATGGTTCTCCCCTCATATGAAGACTTGAAACTCCGTTTTAGATTTGATCTTCAGCAACCGATGTTTGTCATAAATGGTGACTATAACGGGATTCGGTGGTCAGGCTGGTCGACTTGCATAGAATCAGTACTCATGATGTCAGTCACTGAATTGTCTGGTCCAGACTTAATTATTTACAGACCTCTGTTGTATAGTTAAACAACGAACAAACAAACACAACAAGTTCTCAGCTATTGGCCTCATGTTCTGTAATTGGTGCTGCTGTTACTTATTCAGAAAATGACACAGACCCCCTTGTCTGTTTCAGACCCCAAGCTGGACACTACCCTGACCATTGATGGCGCCACGGTGACCGTCCCACAAGGCAAGCCCACGCACCAGTCCAAGTTTGCTGGGAGTAGTTTTTCCCAAAGTGAATACCTCATCTACAAGGAGAGTCAGAACCGCATCAGATACTTGCTGCTCATGGAGTTCTCCTACTGAACATCGGCTCAGGAACTGATTTAACATCACCATTAGCTTAACATCACCTGCTAAACATCAACATCAGCTCTCTTAAACATCACCTTAATTTTGTTGTTGAAACCTCAACATCAGCTTTAACATCACCAACTGAACATCAACATCACCTTTAACATCACCAACTGAACATCAGCTTTAACATCACCAACTGAACATCAACATCAGCTCTAACATCACCAACTGAACATCATAATTCTTCATGTCTCGCTAGAACCTCCAGCCGTGTAACATCATCCACTGAACATCCGTCATGTTCAAAGCATTTAACTTTTACTCAAAAAGAGGTTTCACCCAACATCAATTGTAAAAATTAATTTCAGGTATCAGTAGGTATTGCAGTATGATAAGTATCATAAGCATATCACGTTACAGGTACAGGTACTGGCACACATGTGTGAAGATGTATGCACTGTAAAGTCAAATCGTAGCATGTCTACATGCTTACTTACTTACAATACAGATGAAAACAATGGAGAGAAATGGTTGAAAGATTAAGAGTTGACAATATCATTACAATTGTTAGAGTTTCAAATTGATATATATATGTTGGTATTTTAAAACATATTTTACCTTAAGTGTTATATACAGATAGTTTATGACTGTTTTCCCTGAATATCTTAGTTGATATTCTTTGTTAATAGTCGTAATTACTTGTTGATATTCATACGTTTATAGTCGTAATTACTTGTTGATATTCTTTGTTTATAGTCGTAATTACTTGTTGATATTCATACGTTTATAGTCGTAGCTCCTTGTTGAGGTTGTGAGCTCAAACCAAGTGCCATTATTTTCTTGTGTAGTGATTCTAGTTTAAATAACAGGTTCTTGTTATTTCCTTGTTATGCAAGTCATAATATTTCATCATTTTGCAAGTTCAATATTTACTCCTGTTACTAATATTAACATTTTATCCTTAATTTGTATTCTCGGTTTCCATTTTAGCTTTCAGTAAACAATAATCTTAACTGTTGTAAAAAACTTTTCAATTTGTTGTATATTTCTTTAGACTCTTTAAGAGTTGATTTTTCAATGGTATTTGGTATGATATTAAATATTTATCTCATTCCTGTATATTTGAATTTGTTTTACTTGCATATTTGTTGTTTACTTGTTTTCTTAAGACATGTTTTTGTGAAGAACAATCATTTTTTTAATAAATATATCTCTTATTTAATTTTCATTTAAGGTTACATCAACCCCTTTTTTATGTTACATCATATATATTATTTGTTTAAAACCAATTTTTTTTTAATATACTACTCCACTTTTGACAGGGATATTTTTATCATGACACACAAAACTGATTATCATATGTCACGTGTATATTTAAATAAAATGACATATCTGAATATCCTTATCAAAGGTTGAGTGGTATAATAGTTGTATTGTATTTCATAACAAGAAACAGCAAACTTTGTTTTTGTTCATTTCTAAATTGCATAATACTAGTGTCATGAAACATAAAGGACCCATTTCCTGGAAGTATTGTACCATCCTCATCAATCAAGGACCATGGCATTTCTATAAATATTCATATTTTCAGGAAATATTTTTGCATTTATCAATCTGAAAATAACCCCGTTTTTATAGGGCAAATGGTGTATGAAAATTAAGGCTTTTGTGCCTGAAAAAAATATTTATGTATATATATATATATATGTACATTGCTGTGTAACTTGTGCATAGGTGTATAGATTGCCACTGTAGGCTAGAACACATCGGTAGCTGGAATGTACATAACATTCTCCATCCATCCCTCTTAACACCATGTATATACCAAGGATGTACTGAAAGCATACATTTTTCAATTTATGTTTATGAAGATATTGATGAAGCTAAGTCTAACTGACAAATAATACCCAAGATGAAAATGTGTCATAACATTTTCATTCCTAATATATGCAAAAAAAATTTTTTTTAAATTGATTTTGAAAAAATCATTTCTGTTAATAAATGAACCATAAGTATTTAATTACCATCAAGAAATCATGGGAAATTCAAATCAGCATATTCCAAAAATATTTTCACATGATGTGTTCGCTTCTTTTTAAAATGTTTTCCGGATTATTTTTTTGCAAATTGTATGTCCTGTTACTGTTGTGCATTCCTCGTTAACAGAGGGATGCAGGGAGAAGAAGTACCGCAACATATGAGAAGAAGTATGTTAACAGCATATCTGTTATTAGCAGTGTTCTCATTCCCAAACAGAATTATCTTCCTCACCCAACTCGTCTGATTGGGTGGGTGTTCCAGTACGGTCCAGTGTTACCCATCTGGTTGACTGACATCTAGTCTCTGAATTGAACATATCTTACAGAAAAAAGACAGTTGTTAAATTATCTTAATCAAAATATGATAAGAAGGAGCTTAGAGACTCTCTTCATTTTCAGCAGTAATCTAGACTTGCCAAATATTATAGACTTGCATGGGCTGTATTGGATATATTTTATCAGAGTCTGTAAGACAGACTACCCATCTGGATAATGTGATGGGTTTCTTGGGCCCCGAATGCTGGAAGCTGAGACAGACTGCTGTAACATACTTGGTCTTATCTCTTCACTTTGCTTGTATATATAGGACACACAGTGTGTTGTAGTGTCGGTATATCATTGTGTAGCTAGTTTTATTTGTTTCATTAATATTTAGTCTTAGATGGTACATGTTCAGAGTTCATAAAGTAACTGTATTCACATACACTTTTAATTCTGAATTGAAAACATAGAAAGCTAATTTAAACTTTCCTATTTTCAAGCATTTTGATCAATTTTAGTTTTCAAATCCAAAGTTATAAAATGATCTTAAAAATTCAGTTAATTCATAAAATGGTCTTCCGATTCTAAAAAGGGGTAGAAATATCATGATTGTTCCTCCAGTAAGATTATCAGTGTATGTTAGTATATATTTTATGTGATGGAGTGAGTGCTGAAAAGATCAACATCCAAAATGTCAGGGTTCCTAGCATCACATGATGACTGCTCCAATGTTTGTAACCAGAGCGTTACAGGCAACACCACCAAGTAGCTCTTTACTGAGGACATAGTCACTCTTCCATATCTGGCTCGACCCAGGGTCAAACACATTGTTTTTATTCACCAGGCAAGGAAATTATCAAGAGCCAACAAATTTTATATTTCATGTCGTAACTTTTTGAAGAAATTTAACATGTATGTTACTGAATTTTTAAAAATCATAATTATTTATTATTTTAATTTGGTTATTTGCAATTTGACATCAACAATTTAGTATCTTATTTCATTTAATATGATCAGGTTTACTGAATCGAAAAAGTCAAATAACATTTTAAATTTCAAATTGATATTTATATATAAGGAAAAATATTTTGAGTTGAATTAATATGATGTAGAATTTAGAGCTCTTGGTACTTTCTCCGACCTGTTTTAGACAGTAATTAGTGCACTTCAGCTTAGCATGACTGTGATAAACCCAAGGTGTGTGCGTGCTGTCAGGCACATAGCCAGGCAGGGGGCACATTGGGGCACCTCGGTCATTGCTGCCATAGCAACTGACTGGCTCATCGGTGGGACTGTGATGAGAGACTAGAATAGTTTTCTCCTTTGTATATTACATACATTTATCATATGATCTTTTCTGGAATTTCGAAGCATGCTGTACTCTCACATGTAGTGGTTACATTTGAAATAATAGTTCATATTTTGTCCAGGGTTGTTGAGCTTCGGATTACTTACCTCCCTTGAGTGGAGATAAAACTCGATTATCTCCCTTGACTGTTTGTACATTTTGACATATTTATCAACAGTTCAAATGCTATGATATCTCATCAGCTTAACACTTTGATATATTTATCCACTAATCATTTTACCAAAAGCATGTATAATTTCAATTATAATACTAATTGAACAATTTTTGAATGTATCATTACAGGTGTGGGTAGCCTAGCTCTTAAAACCATGAAATGGGATCAAATAAATGGATTATCATGTTTCAGTAAAACACATATTTGTACTGTAATGTCATTTTCATCAATTTTTCCATCAATTGTCTTAAGCAAGTTTTAGCTGTATGGACACTTTGCGTCCAATCCATTAATCACTTTTCTAGATGTCACATATCCAGACCCTCATCCCGTATCAGCTGACTTTATGTCATGCACCCATCATATCACCTGTTGTCGTTGTCAGGTAGCGTAGAATCACTATACATCCTCTCTCTCCAAGGGATAAAGCCACCATGTTGTGATAGTGTCAGGGAGTAGTAGGGTAGCCTAATAGTACATGTGTTCACTCTTCATGCATAACGTTCTGGCCTGATTCCCAAATGGTTACATTATGTGACTCATTTTCGGTTTCATGTGCTATGATGTCTGTACCCTTACTTGTAATGAATTGTACTTCCCCAATGGTATTATTTGGGCAGAGAGGAAATAATATTCCCTAGAATAGTGAGGATGGATCACCAAAGCCATTACTGGTGTCACATTTTGGGCTGTCATAGCTAGGTGGTTGTACCCATAGTTTCACGACGAGTTTGTATCACCATTATTTCCGGTACATTTCTCATCACAAGTCATATGTGTAAAGGCTTTAAGTTGATGTAATATGTTCGGATTTTTATTGTACCTTTTGTAGTGTTCAGTACTTTTCACTGATCTTCAGCAGTTAAATGTTAGATGTGGATATCAGTGTCAGGACATCAAAGTGAATGTGAATGCAGACTTATAATTGTGAACAGACAACCAGACAAGACCAGGCTGTTTTCCCCATTGTGATCTGATTAAATACTCTGAAGTACATTGGCACCTTCAGACTTGTAGGATTTTATAAGTAAAGCTTACATTTGTTAAACGACAGCATTATGCTTGCAATCTATTTGGGGATATTTATTGAAATCAACAATTGTGCAAAAAGATATGAAATAAACAACTTGTCCAAAGGGTGTTAGTTGGAATACAAGTGAAGAGGGAGACAACTCTCAAGTACCTGGTCATCCCTGCTAGCTAAATGTGTGGGTGTGTTGTGTTGCTGTACATTTAGCTTCTGGTTGTAAAAGCATTTTCTTATATTTCCTGTAAAGTGACTTTATAAACATTTTAAAGTGTGAAATAAACAGATTTAGAATCAATTTGAGTTTGGATTTTTTTAATGAATTTTCCCCCACATAATTGAAAAATATATAATCTATTTAGGAACAGAACAACTTGGATTTTCCAGTGCCTTGTTTCTCCGTGCTTTTATTATAAATACACTGGATCTAAAAGAATAATAAAAGAAGTTGTACATAAAAAGTGTCATGTACTATGCACTAGAGTGAGTGAGTGAGTGAGTTGGGTCTCATGCTGCTCTTAACAGTATTCCATATCACTGGTGTCAGCTTAATGTGGGAGGAAAGCCCGAAGTGATGCAGGTCTCAGACGTTTACCACTTTGGTGAAACCCACGAGTACGGGCATGGTGCTGCCAAACCTAGATACATAATCGGGGCGAACCGGGATTCGAACCCATCCGTAGGTTTCTGGCGTGTCCAAGGGACGTAACTCTGCACGGCAAATCGTGGCGCCTAAGACGACTAGGCCACCCGTGCCACTTCACACACTGGACCTATCCATCACTTTAACTTCGTTCACTGCTTAAAATAAAATTTGTTTTCACATCAAAATTATTTGAGGACTACCAGCATGTGTTTTATTAGTCCAGTGGTTTCTGATGTGATGATGTTTACAGTGCGACGAAATGCATTTTGAGAGAATTAAGGACATGGTCAAATTGCACTGGTCAAATAAAGTTCAAAATATAAATTATCGCGAAAAAAACAGACTACACATGTCTGTGGAGCCTCAATACTCACTGCTCAAATACCAGATCCGTGACGATCCGGTGCATGCCAACCCATGCTTGCCGTAAAAGGCTACTAACGTGACCGGGTGGTCAGACTCGCTGACTTGGTTGATGCATGTCATCGTATCCCAATTGCGTGGATCGATGCTCATGATGTCAATCAGTGGATTGTCTGAACCAAACTCGAATATTTACAGACCGCCGTCATATAGCTGCAATATTGCCGAGAGCGGCGTTAAACAATAAACAAACAAACAAAACATAGCCTTTTCCATATGGCTGCCATATTGAAAATCGGATTTGAACCTTTACAACACATTCAGGTGTCATCATTGCTGGAAATAAGCAAGGTAAATTTGAGCTCCTCCGGCCCAATATTTATGAAGCCGATGTTTAAGACGCAGGTTCCTATGCCGGACAAGCAGGCCATGACATGAGATGTCTTGACTTTCGTGTCAGGTGAGCCAAAAAGGGATATTTGATTGGGCGTCTTTTTAAGCCTTGTATCATTCGAACCGGGCGCAAAATGAAGGTATAAAGTACTCACGGAAATGAAAAAACCCTGTTTTTTTCGATCTCAGATTTTAAATAAATGCAATTGATATACAAAATATATAAATATTCAAACAACTCAATTAGTACTAATTGGGCCTTGGCACAAATACAGCGTATCAAAGGTTTTTATGTCTTTTCACACGTAAAAGTGTGTAAAAATATGAACAAAACAGACTATTGTGAAACTGAGCATAACCAGGTGTTAGTAGATCAAGGTGAATGTCCATGACCTATGACACCTTGACGACAGGTGAAAACAGGTGCTTGAAACCCACGTGCATGTGATTTGTCAGTGGTTAGTGATTTGTGAGTGGCATTGTGGGATAGTGAATCATCGTCAAAATATCAGAACGTAAAAGAAACATATTCCCTTCTCAAACAACAACTTACATGTCATTATTATTATGTACATAAACATAGCTGTTATTTTTATTGTTGTTTTGATAACTTTTTTTCCAAGGCTAATTTGCATAATGCATATAGCCTGTTTCAGCCATGTCAATTTGGACTTAGTTATATTTTTGAATGTTGAAAGTGCCTACAAATTACCTCCTGTAAAGTACATTTTGTATTGAGCACTGAGATAAAACTAGCAAATCCAGATTAGTACTTTTCCAGTTGTTTTGTTATTTCAATTTACATCTACGTAATGCTTTGTGGCGATTATTAAATCCAGCAAAACAGGTTTTTTTCATTTCCATGAGTACTTAAGTATCGAATAGGTAAAGGGTATACATCATAATAGAATGGAGATATGATGTATTGGATAACCGAGGGTCGAAGGTGACATTAGACATAATTTTTAGCAAATACGTGCAGAACCCGGCATTACTGCACTGTTGTTATTGAAATGTACATGGTGTGTTTATTTATGCTAGTGAACCCCAGTTCTGATTATCGCTGTTCTTAGCACCGACAGTACAACAGAGATAGTGCTACTAAATTTCATGTTCAGTGATAATAGCTGTGACATCGCATCCCTATGTACTGCTTCGCCGACCGACATCCACTGGCTGCTGATACATATAAAGTGACAGTATGTATATTTCCTGATTTAAATAAAATTTGAAACTGATCTCCCTATGCTACTTCGTTTAATGTGGGGAAAATATTACATCATTTAAAACACACTTTAAAATATATTACTAAAAAGAGGATAAGGGACACCCGATTGTATATTATTTACTTAAATATAGGGCGTTCTTTTAACTTCTTATAAGTAGTATATATTTCCATTATGAAGGAGGGGCGGTCGGGTAGCCTAGTGGTTAAAGCGCTCGCTCGTCACGCCGAAGACCGGGGTTCGATTCCCGACCTGGGTATATTGTGTGAAGCCCTTTTCTGGTGTCTCCCGCCGTGATATTGCTGGAATGTTGCAAAAAGTGGCGTAAAACCAAACTCACTCACTCACTCATAATGAAGAATATAAAAGGGATTTAAAATAGATGCACGTGAGATGGCAAATCAATATCAAACAACATTATAATGCTTATCACACACACCACTCACTCACACCAAATAGCATATATTAAACAATGTTTCAATGCTGATTTGTTTTTACCTATGTGCTATTATAGAAAGTCATTATATACATCTATTTTATAATATACATTTATTATGACTTTGTTATAATTATTATAGGCCCAATTAACAAGTCTAATTCAAGTAATTTAAGATTGCATATCTTGCTCGTGATTGCAATGATGATTCTCAATTACGCAGATACAATCTAGTTCACAGCTGGCAATAGCTAATTACAAAGTGTTGACCTAGCTTGAGAATGGGCACAAGAACGTGGACAAAGTTCTTCCCAAGTTGGCTTCGTCGTCCTCAGAGTATGTACGACGCATAAACAAATGTCAGATCAGTTTTGAAGCGTTGTATATTTCACGCAGGTGTTCGCCAGCATTGGCACGTGATGGCATGGTTACGGGTTAAACCAATCAGGGCTCTCTTCCGTTGCACGAGTTTTTAATGCGCGTTACCAGACGTCATAGAAGCAGAAGTGGCGTATGCATTGGTGTATGTCAAATTAATTCCAACAAGCGGGTAAGATTATTCTTTTAAAACTGCCATGAACATAACCTTAGAGAAATGTTATTGATGTTCCTACAATGTACGCGCTACAATGATCTCTTTTGGAATGTTTGGTATGAGATGTGTTTAATGAAGGCTACAAGGTGATGGCTTGTCCTGGTGAGGTGAGGTGGGATTTGGTGTGGTGAAATGGGGTTAACGTCGCGTCCAACATTATTGTACTTATATAGCGACGTGCATGCACACGTGTGTGTGTGTGTGCGTGCGCGTGTGTGTGCGCGTGCGCTCGCTCGCTTTAACTAGTCCGGACTAATCCCGATTTTATAGTGCTCGCCTACTGAGATACTATGCCGCAGATTGACATAAATAGCCCACTCGGACACAGTATACCGAGCCGACCAGACAACGTGTACCGTATTTTAACGTCGTTTGGTATGACGCGGCCGGTACGTGTGTAAAAAGTTGCACGAAGATGTATGAAACAATTTATGATTTGTGCCCTGGAAACGAACCCTAACCTCATTTGAGAAAACGTAAAAAAACAAGGGCAATAACTCTATAAAATATTTATTCTCGATGGTGGTTTTCAACCTTGATAATATATTCATAAATTCATAATGTATTCACAATGTCATCTATAGTGTTTTGCGAAAAGAAAATTGCCGTTACATAGCGCACAGGGGCTCTAACCCAGTGTCAGTATAGTAAAAAAAGGAAAGGGACGTAACGAGGCCAACTCACTAACTTCGTGCGAGGACGAATTCAACAACGTCCACTGTAAATTGTGAGTATGGTTTTACCCCGATTTTAGCAATATTCCAGCAATATCACGGCGGGGGACACCATAAATGGCCTTCACACAATGTACCCATGTCGGGAATCCAACCCGGGTCTTCGGCGTCACGAGCGAATGCTTTTACCACTAGACTACCCGACCGCCCCTCCACTGTAAATACCTCTATAAAACTATATACTCATTTAAAGCCAATACATTTAGCTTCACAGTGAGACATAGATGAAGTAAACATATAAATCGAAGCCGTACTTTTGGAGCAAGCGTCTTCAAGCCCCTGTGACTGTGCCCGATGTTGAAAAGATCAAACAAGGTCAATAACTCTGAAAAATGTAAATTGGCGATTATCGTTTTCGAACTCGCTCACGATATGAATTATTCACTGATGAATGCAAAATGTTATCCTAGTAGACATATTGGCTTCCAAGAAAAAATCCCAAACCTATATATCCCGCCCACTTTGTGGCAGGGGATAATACATTTTGTATCAGTGTTTGTTTAAATCAATTCCTCGGCTACAACTTGGAGTTGCCGTAATGGCACTGATTAGTTCTTCGGGAAGCGACTGTAAAATCTCTACGCTATCTAACCATTTCTGGTATAAATTCTATGACAAAATAACAAATATAAACAATAATTGTCATATTGTTTGCTCACTGATGCCACGATTTTGGGCAAATTGAAAACGTGAGACAACAAAATGGAAACTTGGGTGATTATTTTATATACAATCTTATAAAAACCATTCATATCTTTCAACCATAAGCAGTGATGACACACTGTGCCGCCATTTTCCAATAAAACAGAAAAGAAACACCTTGCTAACCACAAATACCCTGACACACCACGATCCCCAAACAAAACAACGAAAACCAAAATACCAATCATAACCATATGGTATCT